ATCATAGTTTATATATATTATTTTACCCAAACTACGTTAGGTAACCTATGTTATTCCTAACAGGCGTGTCCACCTTGACGCCAATCCCCAAACTGCTGGTATATTTCCTCTTCGCACTGGGTAGACCAGGCTGAAACCATGCTGGCCTGATGTTTCCACTTCGCATTGGGTAGGCCGGCCTGAAGAGACATGGGCAGGCCCTTTACATTTTCCAGAATGGCCCCATGGGCCAGATCCAACCACATCACAGCCGCATCTAGCCAGCCGGCTTTGTGTTTGACATCCCTGTTATAGACAATAAAAGAAATTCCATAATGTATGAGAGTTTTCTCTTGTGGCTAGGGTCACTTATGTGTCCACCTAAACGGTTTATTTGAAAAAGCTATAGTTCCTTCCAATATTACCAAGATTTACCACAAGTCCATTTTTACTTGCCAGTTCAGATCCAGAGACAATATCAAAGTAATGAATTTGTAATGTCCATAGAATCAAACATTTTAAAATGTATTTATCACCCAGTAGCTAAAAAGCAGCATCCCAATTTGTCTTTAATAGAAAAATCAGGATAAATTTGTTTCCTCATTTCATATTTGGGAGTTATTTAATATTAATTTATATCAGTTTGGATGTGTTTATGTATGCGATCTGATCAGATAACATAATAAGGTAAAATAAGCAATCAAGGAAGAATTCAATGGAATGCGAAGTCCCATTTCCCAGGTTAATGTAGAGTGATAGTTAAAAATCATAATTCACTGCCATCAAGGATTGTTATAGCCACCAGTGTTGATAGTTTAAAAAGAGGACAATACCAAATTCAAGATGAACAGGACTATCCATGGCTGTTAGATCTGATCATTGTTTACTACTTCTGAATCACAGCTACCATATAAAACATTAGGTATTTAGAAAAAGCAATGGAAAAGCCCTCTAGCCTCATCTCCACACATGGAATTTTCTTGAATGTCCTTAGTTTGCCACCATGTGTCACAAAATCTTGAATTACAGGAGCCATTAAACCTAGCAAGATGTTCTGTCTTCTTTTTCACGGTCCTCTTTAAATGCAATGGAGACCAACGCATATAAAACCTAGTAGCTCTGAAAAAAACATAATGAAAGGTCTCTAACCTGGGGTGGGCTGCTGGTGGTTCATGAGGGTTCAGGAGAGCCCCTAGCTAAAATTCTGTGCAGTTCAAAGAACCCCCAAATCCCACTCCTGACTGACCCCGTCCACCCCACCCCACCCCTCCCAGGAGTCTCCACATGGCCCGTTTTAGATGCAGGTAAGTGCAGGGCATGAGCGGAGGCTCAGGGAGGGTGAAAATGGGCCTCCTGGAAGTTCGTAAGGCTGGAAATGGGCCTGTTTCTGGCTTCCAGAGAGCTCCCAGAGCCCAGAGAGGGCGTTTTTGCCCTCATGGAGGCTCAAGGAAAGCCTCCAGAGCCCGGGGAGGGAAAAAAATACCCTCCACACTATGGTGCAGGAGGCTGATTAGACCACGCCCACCATAGCCATGCCCACCCAGCAACCAGGCAGAGAACCCATTGCTAAAATGTTTGAAGCCCACCTTTGTCTCTAACCCTTTCTTTTGCACAAGGAATCCTCTTGAATTCTCCTAGTTGACTACCAGTTGAGGATATTGTTGAAATAGTCATCCCAATCTAGCAAGATGCTTCTTTTGTTCCCAGAATTCTGTGTAATCATCATGTTCTTATGTCTTTTAATATTCTTTTTCATCACGCTTTTTAACATAGTGGAGGCTGACACTTGTGCCAGAGAATGGCTGCAAAACCAAGGCAACTGCTATGCCTATTTTGATCAGAGGTTAACATGGCATGAGGCTGAGGTAAGAAGCATTTCTTCCACTCAACATCTATTATATAGAAAATATAGAAAAAAGTTTGTAGGGTGATGGATAGATTGGGATTATCTCTGTTGCAGATTTTGAGCTATAATATATATTGCACCATCTTATATTTGAACCACATATATTCTTTATCAACACTCTCAGTAAAAGTACTCTTAAAGTTGGATCTGGAAAGAAAGATGCATTAGTGTAACTTCAAGATTTGACCAAGTTGATGTGTAAAATTAACATCTCCCCAAAAGACCTGAAAACATCCCTTCAATTCTTATTATACAAATGATTGACCACATTTGGAATTCTACAAAGCTTAACACATGGGAAGTTTCACAGATCCTGTATTGTGGAAAATGATCACAGAAGTCATATTCTTTTTGGCTTTCTTCAGATTGAGTGCCAGAGCTATGGCCGTGGGGCTCACCTTGCCTCCATCCTTACCAAAGCAGAGACTCTCCTGGTAGCTGAGCACATATCCACTTACCAACAGGAACTCAGTAATGTCTGGATTGGACTCCATGATGTCCGTCAGGTGAGATCATCTAATTTAACTCTGCCTTTATTTATCACTACCAGGGCTGTTTATTGACTTGCCTAAATCCTGTAGATGCCTGCTCATACTCCACCACTAAAAAAACCAGTTCTTCTAATTATAGATAAAAATTACCAGTCAATTTTTTAGACAAAGCTCTCATTCTCTCAAGCATATTTTCTTTCCAGACTGGGAAGTGGAGATGGGCTGATGAATCCACTTACAACTACAAATCCTGGATGAACTACCAGCCAGATAACTATGACAAAAATGAGCATTGCGTGGAGCTGCGACGATCCACAGGTAAGTAAACCTCCCAGAACTTCTCTGAACTTCTTCAAGATCTTGCAACTTCTCTCAGTCTATAGGGAATCATAGGTCTGTCAGTCTGTCTATCCAGTCAACAGTGGAGAAATTATCTGGTCTAATTTTAGGATGAAGTGGGTAAACATTTTCACAGAATGCCATATAAGAGTCAAATGTTCTTATACGTTCAAAAGATGGAATTGAAACCAAACTACATCTTTCTCTTCTTTTTTTGTTTCAAGTTTTTACAGTGTGTAAAAATTCCAATTTCAATTGAGCATTGTGTTGTCTGGGTAGAAATATTTTTAGGATATAATAATCAAAATGTTTACAACAATGTTCATTACATTGATGTTAATTATAGTAGTATCAGTAATATTAAAAATATTATTTACTTAACCAATTCAACATGTCTTTCTTATATCACTGATCCTATCTATTTCCCTGTATCTAGCTCCTGTTTTTTCCAGCTAGCCATTGATTAAAATAAGTCTCAAGTCAGAAAGCATTCAGTTTCCTTCTTTTCCTTGATTATAAGTGTTAGCCTATCCATTTCTGCACATTCTAATATTTTTTTTCATCACATTTTCATCTGTTGGGATCTCTTCACCAAACTACATCTTTCTTAATTTGTCTCAAACACAGACATGTACAATACAGGTAGTCCTTGACTTACGACCATAATCAAGCCCATAGTTTATTTTGCTAAGCGAGACAGTTGTTAAGTGAATTTTATGACCTTTCTTGCCACAGGTGTTAAGTGAATTACTGCAGTTGTTAAGTTAGTAACATCATTGTTAAGTGAATTTGGCTTGATTTTGCTTGTCAGATGGCCATAATAGGTAATCACATAACCCTTGGACACTGAAACCGTCATAAATATGAACCAGTTGCCAAGCATCCAGGTTTTGGTCACCTGACCATGCAGATGCTGCAATGGTTGTAAGTGTGAAAAAATGGTCATACGCCACTTTTTTTCAGTGCTGTTCTAACTTCAAATAGTCACAAATGAATTGTTGAAAGTTGAGTAAATATATAGTAAATACAGAGTAAATATACAGTAAATGTATATTGGAATGAATTCTCATTCTTCTGAATCCTGCACTTTGGAGAAAGAAAAAAAGCCCTTTTCTGCATCAAATAATAATAACCCTTTTCTCATTTCTGTTTCAGGCTTTAAACTATGGAACGACATTCAATGCAACATACGTAATGCCTACATCTGCAAACATGAGTTGTAAATATGACTGAAGCTTCTCCCTGCTCTTCCCAGGATGCTGGTGTGATGTAGTAAAGTATTTTCCCACTTATCTCATTACCTGCTCATATTGCATAGAGAAGAAGTTTTCTTTCATCTTCTTCAAAACTGAACTCACAAGAACCGTCGCTTTGGTTCTCCTGAACCTTTCTCATGACACAATACAATATTAATAAAAATATTCTGAAGCATATCTTTTCTGAAGTTGTCCTTTTTGGTTTATTTATTTCTCCTCTTCCACAATAACAACATGCAAAGGCGGACAAGACATGTTTCATTCATCTTTCTCTGTTATGAAGATGTAAAGTTAATATGTGTTGGTCATTTATCCAATGCCTTCCTGCTCAAATTTCATCTTCTACATATCTATTCTATTAAAACCATGGACTTTCTTTCTATCTGGAATTTTGCTTTGTTTTGCATTTTGAAGTCCATGGGTAATCCAAAAGCTTTGACAAAAAAAATTCTTGTATTGCACGATTAATATGTGTTAACTGAGTAGATTAACTTCCAACTTTTCCTATAATTTCCTTTAGTTTAGTTTACTTTATTGTCATTACACTTCATACAACGAAATCAAACACCATCTTCAGTGCGCATCATGACCATGAAAATAAACACAAACACACATCCTTCACCCTCCACACATTGAACTGAAACCCCCCGACATCACACCAATAATGCACTATACAGCAGAATTCAAAAGAGCTACTGCCCTGGGATAGAAGCTGTTTTTCAGCCTATTTGTCCTTGTTTTTATTATTCTGTACCATCTGCCAGATGGTAATAGTTCAAAAAAAGTGTTCCCAGGAAGAGATTAATCTTTGAGAATGTTTTGAACTTTCTAATGGCAGCAGGAGCTATAAAGCTCTTCCAAAGTGGGGAGAGGGCAACCAATGATCTTCTGGGGAATGACATTAATCTTTTGGAGTGCTTTCCTATCTGCCACTGTGCTACTCTTAATAAAAAAAAAAAACGCTGTGATATTCTTAAATAAAAGAAAGTTGCCAATACCTATCATTTTTTCACCCTAAAATATTTTTAATGCCAGATAAATATTTAGCAAGCCTCTAAAGATGCTACAGATTGTCTTTGGAGATTACTAAGAGATATTAACAACATCTATAGACTATGCAAAAGAGACAATCAACCAGTCCAAAAAGAGAGCAAAAAGACTCCAGTACATCTCCATGAGTAATCAACTCCCAGACCAGCATAGATTAACTCCAAGAAGGTTAACTTCAGACCAACAATCAAGTATACAATAATCAAAAAACCATCAAAGAGCCATCAGTAAACGGCACAACTGAAAAATCTCTAAGACTGCCCACACTCACAAAGACAGGAAAATCACCAGAATATAAACTGATAGCAAACAACCCTCCTTACTAGCACTGATGATGTTAGGGTTACACTCCTCACTAGCACTGATGATGTTACTAGTTAGGGTAATGAAACGTCTGCAAAAAGCAAGCAAGCTCAGAGAGCACCAAGGATCCCTCATATCTTTGGGATACAACATGACAGTTTCCATTTAGTTGGACTTAAATTAAATGAATCTAACAAAGTCAAGTTGAGATTCAGAAACTGGACATTACAGGGACCTGCCATAGCCATCTTGTCCCAAAGTTGATTTTTCAAGAGGCAACTGGACTTTCTGGTTTTTTTTAAAGATGTTTCACTTCTCATCCAACAAGCTTCTTCTGAAGAACTAAAGAAGCTTCTTGGATGAGAAGCTAAACATATTTTTTTAAAAAAATCAGAAAGTCCAGTTGCCTCTTGAAAAAGCAACTTTGAGACAACCATGACCTGGATGACTGAGAATCTCCATAGACACATAGCCATCTTGTTGCTCACTTCTGTCTAAGAGATTAGTGTTTTCCTTCTCTTTAATGAAAAGTTGCCCTCTTTATCAAATAATAAATGAATTGCAAGCTATGCAGTTAAGCCTCATAGTAATAGGGACTTTAACAATCAACTAAAGAAGATAAAATTTTGTCTTTCTTACCTCAGCAGATGTTGTCATCTAGTCGCTCTGTCTGAACTCAGGAGTTAAATAGATTCCAAGGTAATTAATTCTTGAATGGGTAGACATCAGTATTATACACTGAACTCAGAAATGAAGATATATTACAGAAGGAGACAATTCATACTTTGACCAGAAAAAAGCACATAGTTAGATAAGATTACATTAGATTCAATATTATTGTCATTGCACATGAACACAGGCAACGAAATGCAGTTAGCATCTAACCAGAAGTGCAAAACAGCAATGAAGTATAAATATATACAGTATATACAGATATACAAAATATATTACTATATATGGATATACAGAATATCTATGAATATACAGAATATATGTTTATGAAAGGAATATATACGACGTTACAGAGTGTTTATGAACACATTGAATATAAGTATAATGCACAGAGAGTTTATACAAGATATATTATATATTATCAGGGGAAGTATCAGTGTGTTGGGGGGGGAATAGATGAGTTGAGGAGTTCAGTAAGGAGACCACTGTATGATAGAAGCTGTTCCTTAGCCTGCTGGTCTTGGACTGCAGGCACCTGAACCTCTTCCCAGATAGAAGAAGGGTAAACAGTTTATGGGCTGGATGTCCATATACCATAATTCTTCAGAATTTGTCTTGATTTTATTTAATTATCCCAACTTTCTCTATGGTCCTACTTCCCTCATCTCATTTGGGAAGGTCAGAGGGCAGCAGTTTTCAAAAGTACCTAAACCATAACCTGACCATGTAGTAAAGTATTTTCCAATTAGTACACCTGGCCTGCCAAACCCCTGAAATTTACCATTTTTAGCTTATTGCTGCAATGACCAAGCTGTGCATCATAACTGATATTGCCACCCAAGGAAAATTTGTCTTCTGCAAAGACCAACACCTATCATTGAAAAGGAGGACACAAGAAGCCAGAGATGAATTTCATTCCTTACTGATAAGAAGAGTTAGTGGAAATTTGACCCTTCACAAATAGAGGAAATGGGACATGAAAACTATCTGCACTTAGAATTAAAGATTCTGATAGATCACACAACTAAATCAATTTGATTGGAACCTGTTAAAATCACTCCTGCATGGGCATACTTATAACCTTTCTCCAACCTTATAGCACACTAGATACCAAGAACAAAACTGCCATATTTATCTGAGTCACCTGAATTGCATCTGGGGAACATTTAAGTTGAGGGTAAACTCTTCACATCATAAAGTCTTTAGAAAGCTGTCTTTTTATTGGTGTAATAAACAAAAAAGGAACAGACATAACACGCACAATACACAAAAAGAGAACTTAAAAAAAACATTTTAAAACAACAACATTTTTAAAAAACAACAAGAAGAAAAACAATATGATTATAAACAGAATTTCTATAAAGATTCTCAGTCATCCAGGTCATGGTTGTCCCAAAGGTGCTTTTTCAAGAGGCAACTGGACTTTCTGGTTTTTCTTTGAAAACATTTTGCTTCTCATCATTCAGAAAGCTGAAGAAGCTTCTTGGATGAGAAGCAAAATGTCTTCAAAGAAAAACCAAAAAGTCCAGTCGCCTCTTGAAAAAACACCTTTGGGACAACTATAAAGAGACTGAATCTCAAGAGGGGAAAAAAAATCCTCTGATTTTGAAATCATAAATGAATCCTTGACTGCATGAAATAACCTTGTCCAGATTTGCTTCTACATTAGAGTGAAATAAGTTCAAAGATGGGAAACATATCTCATCCATCCAAACTATAAAATCAGGGACACTAGAGTCTTCTCATCAAAGGAAAAACATCAATATAAACTATGTATCATAAATCCAATTTGCCATGGTTAGATAAATTCCAAATTATTGGTCTCAGCTTCAATATCACATCAACTTCTTTACACATGATATCTCTTCTCAACACTTTATGGAGAAATGTCTAAACATTACATTAAAATAGAACAATCTTCTACCCATCTTCTCAAATTCAAATATACTAAAGATCTTCTGGAGCATCCAATGTCAGCCTCATGAAATTAAAAAGATCTAAGATTTTAGGAGCTGTACTTCAAATAATGGCATGCTAATTTCTTCAAACAAGATATTCCAGCTACTGTATATCTCTGCATGAAGTGAATAAGAAATGGTTATATCATGGCTATGTCCCAAGGAGTGGGTAAAAACCCTGAATATATGTCTGGAGGAAATCATGGGATTAGGGCCCATAAAATGGATTTGCTTGCCTGCTTAGACTGATTTGTCTGCCTCAGTGAACCAGAACATAGTTAATAGCCCAATGGATGCTTTGAAAACACTGAGGACATCTGAATTATCTTGCAAAAGTAGAACTTTAGCTTACATTCTAAGACCTGGTGTCCAGCTACATGAAGTGAGCGGGTAACATTTCTACTTTATTAACTTCTCCTTTCCACCAGTGGTGACAATATCTGAAGTCTTTGCCATTTGGACCTTGGACACCACTTTTGGACACCATAAAGGGTATTAGCTAGAAATTTCTTCTTCATTCATACTTGTTCCTTCTTCTGCTTTCCTTTCATTGGATGAGTCACCATTTGTGACTGATAGGACCTTCAAGGTTACTTCCTCACCAGGTTGACACCTTCACTAAATCCTCAATATAATGGTGGTTGTGGATGTATGAACCTTAGTGAGGAAAATGCCATGATGCATTTCAGACATCATTGAGCTGATAAATGTGTAATAAGAACAGGCTTTATGGTGTCTCAATGGTGGCTCTTTAGATTTACAAGATACTCTGTGTTTCAAGTGAGATCTTGGCCTTTCCCCTTCATCTTCTTTTCAAAAAGTCAAAGTTCTTCCTTCCTTTTTCTCCTTTCCCCACATAGACAGAGACTTTTAACAGGTAGACCTTTGGAACAGTTAACTACAGTAAAGGTAAAGGTTCCTCTTGCACATACGTGCTAGTCATTTCTGGCTCTAGGGGCCAGTGCTCATCTCCATTACAAAGTC